CAGCCCAGGCAATTTGGCAAGACTTCGTCTCTACAATAAATAAAAAATTAGCCAGGCGTGGTAGCGTGCACCTGCAATTCCGACTACTTGGAAGACTGGGCAGAAGGATCACCAGAGCCCAGCAGGTTGAGGCTGGGGTGGCCGTGAGTGTGCCACTGCACTCTAGCCTGGTGACAGAGTGAGATTCTGACTCAAAAAAAAAAAAAAAAGAAAGAAAGAAAAAGAAAAGATTATCCATCTGATTTAAATATGCATTATATGTTTTAAATTTTGATGTTAAAAATCCAAAAATGAAACTAGTAATGCTGATGAGCTTTATTTACAAAATTTATTGACAAATAAATTGTTGAACTTTAAAGCCAATGGGAAGTTTATTAGAATAATAACTGTGGTAGCTGCATTCCCCAGCTCCTAAGAATACTAGTTTTTGACATGGATATGCAAATCCTGAGAACAGCGTCAATATTGCAAGGGACCCATGAACACATTCACATATCAAACCTTGTCTGTAGTCTCAATGAATAAAGTAATCTGAGACATGTTAGTATCAGCTCTTGTCAAATGAATGTAGGCACAATTGTGATTAATGAAATTTTAATTTCATCTGAAAGTACTGCTGAATTTGAATGAGCTTTTCTCTCTTTAGGCATTTTCCCAATCCAGGCTGAATAAGAGCACAAGGTTCTCCTATTAAAAAAAAAAAAACTCAAGGAACCACTGCCTTTACATAGAAAAAATAGAATAAATTGACTACTAAGAAGGCTATGTTCCCAAAATCACATTAATGCTTATATTTGGATAACACACATGTTGTACACAATAGCCCTTCTTCTGAAAGTGAACATTGAAGGGTATTTTTTCTTGAGATGTTCTGAACTTTTGATTCTTTACCTTTCATTTTTTAATGGTTCATAGCACTTAATCAGTTTTCTCTGGCCTGAGTATCACTGATGATCTTTTAAGCATGGAGTCCTCAAGATCAAGGCCAACACCTACGAAACCATCTGTGTCATTCATAGAGTCCTATTTTCCTCTCCACGGAGGAAATACCAAGACTAAGCAAATATAGCCATAGCCATGCATGTACTTTGTCCCCTCTCCCATGTTTCCTGCTTTCTTCAAGAATGCTGTACATGGTGCCCATCCAATTATGCAGGGTATTTAACAGAGGGAAGCCACAAAGTCCTATCTCAAAGACGATGGTAAAATCTCAGTTGTCCGTACTGATGTAGTTTAGGTTATTATTATTTTTTGATGATCGTGGCTCCCAGCAGCCTTGACTTCCTGGGCTCAGATGATTCTTCCACCTCCCAGCGTCTTAAGTAGCTGGAACTACAGACGTGCGCCATGATGCCTGGCTAGTTTTTTTAAATTTTTGGTAGAGCTGAGCTTTTGCTATATTGCCCAGGCTGATCTCGAACTCCTGGACTCAAGCAAATCTGCCTGCCTTGGCTTCTCAAAGTGCTAGGATTACAGGTATGAGCCACCGTGTCCCACTTAGAATATTTATAATGGCACATAAGTATAAATTCCTTGGTTTTTAAATGTATATTATATTTCTCTCTATAACAGATTTATATTTCTTACTGTCTCACTTTAGTGACTATGAAAATAAACTATGATCTTGGCGGTTTCTTTCACCCTTGCCAGCTCTGGCATGTCACTCTTTCTTTTCTCTCATCTTTGTTTGAAAACTTAAAAATAAATAAATAAACTATGGTCTTAAAGTGAACTGCACAGTAAGGGGCAATCTGTCAGCAGCATCAATTATTATGCAGATCTTACAACGTGCATGATATTGTACAAAGAAAGGAAACACACACACACACACACACACACACACACTTTTGAGCACAAATCAGACTCATTCTATGTTTTCTAAAATTTTATTTTACAGACCTGAGGGATCATATTGACATAGGCAACTTGGGACAAGTTGAACTGTAAAGTCTATATTTTGTACCACAGTACTATGCAAACAATCACCAAAAATAAAATGAGACTAGTGGGGAAAACTCACTCTCGAGTCTAAAATGCCTTCTCCAACACCCTGGAAGATGCCGCCCACTGCCATGCTGTGTTATGGCAAGAAATCAGATGGATTTTGGAGATTGTTCACAGCATGCCAGAAGCTCCAGTCATGGTGGCCCTTCTGATTTTCATGGAACAGATTGTAGTTATCAGTCAAGCTCAAATGAAAAACAGCAATACCATGCCAGCTATGATTGATATCTTCAGAAAATACTGAAATTGCTGAATTCAAAGGTCTTCAGAAAAAAGGTTATGAATGAACTTTGAGGACATTATGCTAAGTGAAATGAGATAATCACAGAAGGTCAAATACTGCTTGATTCCACTTATGTGAGAAATCTAAAACAGACAAACTCACAGACACAAACAATAAGAAGGTGGTTACCAGGGAAATGGGGAGTTCCTAATCAAAGGGTATAAAATTTCATTATGCAAGGTTAATAAGTTCTAGAGATATTTTGCATGACATCATGCCAATGGATAACAATACTGCATTGTACATTTGAAAATTTGTTGAGTCTTATGCTGTGCTATTACCAAAATACAATTTTTAAAAAAATTTTTTAAAAGAGGTTTAAGTGTCTCAGAGGGTTATGTGTCTCATGGAAACCTAATCAGGGAAAGAACACCACTGTTCTCATGATCTAGGAGGTACTGTCTAGAGTAGTTCAAGGGTACACAGAGTAAGTGAGTTACTGGGTGAGTAAGTCCGGGTCCCAGCATATGACCACCAGAAATCAGGTGAGAACGTTCCTTGTTTCTCTTTTACAAAGATTTGTTTCTCTGTTGCAAAAAGAGTCTGAAAGGGAGACAGCTCTGCCTTCTGACAGAGAGCAAAGGTTTTATATATTACAGGAATAAGGTGGGGTTAAAGCAGAGATTAGTAAACAGATCTAGTTCTTAGCAACAAATGTCCTAAGGGATTATAAATCAGAAAGGTATTTGATGCTATTTGGGGTTTACCAAGAAAGACAGGAAAATGAGTTTAAGCCCTAGGCTTGCAACCCTTTGTCATGTAGGAAATAGAAGCAAGAGGGAAAATCTTTACTTTCCTTGCGGGGTTTTGCAGGAAGAGAGGACTTTACAACTTCTTGTTCTCAGTGGTTAAATACTTCATGTCATCCCTATTCTCTAGGATGCATGCAGCTACCTTCCTACTCAATATATGCATGAAACCTATGGATCATGCCAGGAAATCAATATAATTTGGATTATAAAAATATATTTGTATAAAGAAGCAATATAATCTAAGGCACACACCCCTTAGGCAGAGAAATCTTGTATGTGTATGGCTGGACTCTTAAATACATATGAACAAAGATGAGTATCCCTAGTTAGGATTAATCTAATACGAACTACTGTACTTTGGGAGATCTGTCAATCAAGCAAACAAATCAAAATCAAAATGTAATTCCCATAAACTGTATACAAGGACCACGATGTGTTCAGAATGAAGTCTAGAGACTGCAGCTAGCTGGGATAGGCAAATGGGAAATTGTAATGATGTCAAATTTTATTTGTAGACAGTGGGGAGCCACTAAGACTTCTGATATTTATATTGTGAGATATTCTAAATGAAGTTTGCGGAAGACAGTGATCTTGAATAAGAAGGAGATGAGAGTTTTTGAAAGGGCTGAGAAAGGAGGAAATTGCTCAGTATGAGGTTATGGCTATAGAATAATATCATCATAACTATTTTCACAAAGCTTTCAATACATAACAAGGAAGAAGAGACACCAAGATTTGGTAGTGAAAATGAAAGAGACAATCAAAACACCAGTGCTACTTTTTGAAATTATTCTAGAACCTAGGGACACGTTGAAGTTTCCTCTTTCTCAGCAACAGCATTGTGAGGCAAAAGACAAGGCATCAGCTTCCCAAATGCCCTGAATTCCAGGGAGTATTGCTAATGAGAAGAACAGCAGAAACTCTTGGGTATTTGCAAAGTAAACTTCTTAACATATTTACCATCTTTTTTTCATCTTATGTTGGCTTACTCAGGATATTGCTGATGCCATGACCTTAAAAGCAATCTGGTCTTTGGAAGGCTTGCTCAGAACTTACCAATATTCACAGTAGGCAAGCACAAAGCAGGGTCTGGCTTGAATTCCAGGATCACCTCCAAAAGGAAAGCTCATAATTGCTAAGAAATGCCTTTTCATGATTTTCTTCTCATGCCGTGAGAGCTCTGGGCCCACCATGCTACAGTCTTTTAATCATTACCACAAACAAACCCTCCCTGCTCTGAAACACATCAGAGTTCTTATATATCACTTATTCCACAGCCTACCAAGGAGTGAAAGAGAATACAACAAAAAAGGAAGCCATAAAAATAGTTTTTACTCTGTCCAGAAAGTCTAATTTTAAAAGAAGAAAATATATAAGAATTTCAGTCTGCAAACTCCGTTACCAATTTGGCTAATTTCTAAATGATCCTGTTATCATAATAGTCAGAAGGAGAGGAGAGAATCAGTGTATCTTTTCATTGAAGAAAAGATAGACAAATTAAGTACTTTTTTGTAGTTTTGGGAAAAGAGAAAAAGGTGAGCCATGATCATGCTATTGCATGGGTGACAGAGTGAGACTCCGACTCAAAAAAAAGAAAATATGAACTCTTGGTGTGAATCTTCTATAACAAACCTGATATGACCGGGACAAAGCTAAAGTGGAACACAGTCAGAAGTGGTGTTTTAAAATGAAGGATGGCACAGCCTGACCTTTGCAGAAATGAGAGGCAAAATTGATTGATAATAGAATTCCTGCCATTCACTTACATGGGGATAAATTGGGATCTTGGCTCCGATTTCCACCTTAATTTCAACATTTGGAGACTCTTATTAAGGACCAATTGAAAGCTGCTGCTTTATGAAATAAAGACTATTATGTTACAAACATTCTTCCTCTGAGACAGACAGTGAGAAAGAGACAAAAACTGATACAGGGGCGCGGCAGAGGAGGGACGGCGGCCTCGCGGGATTGGTGTGTCCTTTTAATAGAAGAAAATGGAAACTGAACAGCCAGAGGAAACCTTCCCCAACACTGAGACTAATGGTGAATTTGGTAAACGCCCTGCAGAAGATATGGAAGAGGAACAAGCATTTAAAATATCTAGAAACACTGATGAGATGGTTGAATTGCGCATTCTGCTTCAGAGCAAGAATGCTGGAGCAGTGATTGGAAAAGGAGGCAAGAATATTAAGGCTCTCCGTACAGACCACAATGCCAATGTTTCAGTCCCAGACAGCAGTGGCCCCGAGCAGATATTGAGTATCAGTGCTGATATTGAAACAATTGGAGAAATTCTGAAGAAAATCATCCCTACCTTGGAAGAGGGCCTGCATTGCCATCACCCACTGCAACCAGCCAGCTCCCGCTCGAATCTGATGCTGTGGGATGCTTAAATTACCAACACTATAAAGGAAGTGACTTTGACTGCGAGTTGATTCATCAGAGTCTGGCAGGAGGAATTATTGGGGTCAAAGGTGCTAAAATTAAAGAACTTCGAGAGAACACTCAGACAACAATCAAGCTTTTCCAGGAATGCTGTCCTCATTCCACTGACAGAGTTGTTCTTATTGGAGGAAAGCCTGATAGGGTTGTAGAGTGCATAAAGATCATCCTTGATCTTAGATCCGAGTCTCCCATCAAAGGACGTGCACAACCTTATGATCCCAATTTTTATGATGAAACCTATGACTATGGTGGTTTTACAATGATATTCGATGACCGCCATGGACGTCCAGTGGGATTTCCCATGCGGGGAAGAGGTGGTTTTGACAGAATGCCTCCTGGTCGGGGTGGGCGTCCTATGCCTCTTTCTAGAAGAGATTATGATGATATGAGCCCTCGTCGAGGACCACCACCACCTCCTCCTGGACGAGGTGGCCGGGGTGGTAGCACGGCATCTTCCTCTTCCTCCACCACCACCACCTAGAGGAGGAGATCTAATGGCCTATGACAGAAGAGGAAGACCGGGAGACCGTTACGATGGCATGGTTGGTTTCAGTGCTGACGAAACTTGGGACTCTGCAATAGATACTTGGAGCCCGTCAGAATGGCAGATGGCTTATGAACCACAGGGTGGCTCTGGATATGATTATTCCTATGCAGGGGGTCGTGGCTCATATGGTGATCTTGGTGGACCTATTATTACTACTCAAGTAACTATTCCCAAAGATTTGGCTGGATCTATTATTGGCAAAGGTGGTCAGCGGATTAAACAAATCCGTCATGAGTCGGGAGCTTTGATCAAAATTGATGAGCCTTTAGAAGGATCCGAAGATCGGATCATTACAATGACAGGAACACAGGACCAGATACAGAATGCAGAGTATTTGCCGCAGAACAGTGTGAAGCAGTATTCTGGAAAGTTTTTCTAAGACTAGTAAAGAACTGAAGGAGTCCTGCATCTTTTTTTTTTTTTTTTTTTTTTTTTTTTTTTTTTTAAAAA